AGCTCAGGATCTAAAGGGAAGGCAGATCCTGTGATCTTGGTTAAGGTGTCACACAAATCGTACCAAAAGCACCTCACTTTAGTGCAAAGCCAGGTACCGTGTAGGAAGGAGCCGACCTCGATACCACACCAGAAGCACATCTCTGACAGCTCGGGCTTGGATAGTTTCTGTGGGGTGAGGTACAGTTGATGGAGGACATTATAGTGAACCAGCCTGTACCTGGCGTTAAGAGTAGCTGACAAACTGTCTTTACATAAATCTGACCAGAGCTTTTCATCAATTGCTACATCCAGATCTGACTCCCATCTCGCTCTAGATGTGTGTAAACCTGGCTTTGGGCCCTCATTCATTCATAAAGAGTACATGTTAGAAATACCTTTGTATACATTTCCCTCATGAAGCAGTTTCTCCACATCAGTCAACACAGGTGACGTCATCCCAGGGCCCAGGCTGGCTCTAAGAAAGGATCTGAACTGAAGATAGCAGAAGAAGGTCATATTTCCTCTTATTGTTCGAAGGACATGAGGAGTCTTTTTTCGTAGCAATCTTCCAAATGTTGGATCCCCTTATGATGCCACGTTTCCAGAATCTTGTTATTGAGAGTCATGGGTATGAGTTCATTTAGTCTCAGAGGTGACTTTGGTGAGTCTCACACCACATTTCAATCAAACGCCTTAAAATAGGGTTGTCTGTCTTCTTGGATCTAATCCTGGGGTTCCATTTATAAATAAAATCGCTGAACACTTTTTCTTTCAGGGGGTGCAATCCAATTTGTATCCAGGATGGGGCACCGTCACCCTCAAAAAAGGCTGAAACAAATCGCAATTGAGCCGCCAAATAATACTTGTTAAAACATGGTAATCGAAGGCCCCCTGATCTGTAACCCCACGTTCATCTCTCCATAGATACCCTGGCCACCGTACAGTTCCATATAAACTGTCCAACATGTTTATTGAGGGTTTAAAAAAAGTTTGAGGCAGTTGAATGGGCAAGGACCGGAAAAGATACCGTAGCCTTGGTAGTATATTCATTTTCACAGTTAACTCGGCCAATTAGCCTCTTCAGCCCCACGGACCCGGTTCCGGGGCCGAAATCGCGTCATTAGCAGGAAACAACGTCTAAGGAACCTTAATATTTAATAAACTATGAATATTTTATATCCATATAACGGGAAAAAAACTAATTTAACTGATCTTTTTAATTTCAAAAAACAAAAAACAAAACACAATGCTAACAGTGAGCCTCTGAATTAGCCCCGAGCGAAAAAATGCTAACCTATTACTGCACCGAAAATCACTCCTAGCTCCCTTATTACTTATCCTAGCTGCACATCCAACACATCGTTTAAGATCGTAAAGACACAGAATCTAACGGTGCCCACCTCAACACTGAAAGATACAAACTCGCAACGTTATCAACAAAAACGTACATCAAAACAAGTGGCGCTAGGTAGCCTACTAACATGCACTAGGCTAACATGGCTTTACCTTCGTCTTTGCCTGGTCTAAACTGGTCTTCAATGGCATTACAACGATAAAAACGATGATGTAGTTAATCCATAGGTTAATATCCAATGGGGCTGTGTCCCCTTTGAAATGTTCTGATAATCTATAAGCAATAAAACTGCAATTCCGTTATCTGCTGTCCGCTCCGTGCGCTCTGGGTCCTGCTGCATTTCCTGCTTCCTTACGTAGTAAACAATAAGTAAAGTCTGCTGCGTAATGTGCTTACGCTGGCTGCCATTCTTTATAATTTACGCAGGACCATATCTCTGGAACCCATTGGTCGATTTGGGTGATTTACACCTTTTTCTTAACCATCAGAACCAATAGAATCGATGGGCAGTTCCCAAATCCACGTAAACATCACCATAGCGGACGTAATAGAGAAGCAAACGAAACATATCTGAAAGTGCAAGCCTGGACGGCAATACTTTATACTCAGTATATTGCCATAAATATGATGATGGATTATCAGTAAACATTTATACGTGACACAACGACATTGGATTAACCTTGAGATGCGTTTTTATTCCGTTGAACACAACTTTTGATCACAAATCAAAAAAGGTAAGATGTAATTATTGTAATATTTTTGGAACCGGATGTTGTTTACTTTCTCTTTTCTGGCTGATAGCTCCAGGAATTCGGGGTCGGACAGTGATGACATTACATGTGTGGAATCTGTGGAGTCTCAGCTTTAAATCGTATATCTTGTTTGTGCAGTTAAGATAGTAATAAGGGCATTTCTACCGTGAGTTCTGTGTAAAAAAGCATTAGCATTTTTTCGCTCCATGCTAATTCAAAGGCTTGGTATTACTCTTGTGTTTCTTTTAGCTAAAAATGGTTCATATTGTCAGTTAGCTGAGTTTCTTACCTTTAAAAGGGTATAGAACATTAATAGTTTCATAAATGTTAATAAGCCCTGAGACATAGTTTCGTAAAAAAAACGGTGGGAGGGGTCCACTGGGGGGACCCTCGGGCTTAAGAGGTTAATATGTTTATTAAAAGCAGCATATAGTTGAGTTTGGAGTAGCTCGGGCCTCATCACTCCACAGATTTACAAAGAACATTGAGTGATGATTAGATAACTATCCCCCAAGCCTACAGGTGGAAGCGGGGTGGTGGTGGGGGGGGGGGCAGCAATAGCAAGTGAACACAGCGGTGCAGCATTAAGGAGGCAGAGGCAGGAAGACCTGGCAGCTTAAATAGAGTGTCATGTTTAGGAGAATGTGTTTGGTTGGTTGCAAGAGGGACGAGGTGCGTTACGTGTTAATGTATCATTGGTGCTCGAGTTGACTGCAGTAACTAGCTCGCAGGCTTCGCCCCATTTCTTTGTTTCAGTTTTCTTTTGTCATTTACAGTAGGGTTTAAGTAACAATATTATTAAAGGACATTAACAGAATTTGCTTTGTGATTCTTAGCCTCACAGGTGTTATTGTTTTCTATGCGGGCTTCAGCCAGCCAGTGGCGGTGCACCGCTGAAAGGGTCTGACTGCAGACCCCTGCAGAATGCAGAGTAACATTAGTTCGGCCTATCGCACCAGTAAAGCCAATAGATTGTAATATTAAAAAAAACGCCCGTGCACAGAAATCCTGTTTATTCCTCCATGTGTTGAATCCGTTCTAAAGTCCTCCATGTGTCCAGGAAGCTTAAAAATAACGGTAATTGATTTCCCCCTCATCACTCAGTCACTCAACGGCTTTCATATAAATGTACTAGTTGTGTCGGCTACGGGTCATGCTTGAATTTATTAACCTAAGACATAATAATAGATAGATGTTTGTTTCAAAGGTACTTTATGAACACTTGTATGTAGGGCTGCTCAATTAATCGTATTTTAATCGCAATTATGATTTTTTTTTATTGGTTTTTCAGTTGAATTATACGTAAAGTTCAGGGTAATCAACTGTTAAAAACATACTGTTCACATTTTCTTTGGTCAATGGATAATCGTTTTAAATAATCGTGATATCAATTATTGACCTAAATTATCGAGATTATGATTTTTGCCATAATCGAGCAGCCCTACTTGTATGCAAAGTGGTGTTGAGGGTGGAGTAAACATATGGTTGATCATGATGATCCTGTGTGTAGGTGTGCAGGTGTCCCCAGAGTCCGGCAGAGGCTCCGGCATGTAGGGCTTCTGTTTGTAGAAAGTTCCAGTGAAAAATAATAACTTGAGAAATCTTACGTGCCCCCCCCCCCCCCCCAAAACATGGACCAAGTGATCATCGTTCTGTGGGTATAAAGACAGATTTATTCTGCAACAAAAATCTGTGACAATATAAAATACAATTATTCAAAGTGACGATTAGAGAAACAGAGATTAAGAATAATAAAACAGATAGAATGCATTTTAAGAACCCCCCACTCGAGTTGATTATACCCCCTCAAGTCAGACATTGTGTATCGGCATGGCTCTGGGCCGAAACTAAAACAGACACGATATAAGGAAGATATTCATTATGAACCATTCAACTGAACAAAGAGCTACCACCGTGTGTGTGTGTGTGTGTGTGTGTGTGTGTGTGTGTGTGTGTGTGTGTGTGAACATGGTGTGTGTGTGTGAACATGGTGTGGGGCCAGGTGTTGAATGCCAAACTAAGATGAAGGGAAACCAAAGCATGAATCAGATAGCTGCTCTCCAAACAGATCCTCAGCAGAGAGAGAGAGGCTCGGGCCTTTCACTGCTCAGGTGCCGGCGGCCAGGTGCCCTCAGTCAGTCTGATAGGGAGGAAGGGAGATCGTTAAAGGGCCATACACATACACACACACACACACACACACACACACACACACACACACACACACACACACACACACACCGGGAGAGAGTAAAGCAGGGGTCGTCACAGTATTGTGTGCTTGCATTATTTTTGGCGATGAGGCTTCAGTTGCGAGGAGTCAACAGAAGAGGCTTCCTCAGGGTGTGCCTAATTTCAGGCATCTGCGTTGTTGGACCACACTTCAGAACACCCTCTTTCCCGGCTACTTCCTTGTTCACGCGGCGGAGTATGACATCAATATTTGTCTTCCTAAAAAAAATATGAGGGGTAGAAAAACCTGTTATCACATGATGGTCACATTAAGTCAAGGGTAAAATATTCATGTAAACAATTTTATCATCAGATTCAGATCTACAACATCTTTCGGATATTTCAATCACTATATAATTAATGTTGAGTCTGACATTTACCCGTCACAGCCCACTTCTAGCTGGTTACAGACAGATTGGATGAACCAGCTCCCCTTCGTTGTCACTCTCATAGAATAATAATCTTGAACAGTGGCATATTGAAAAAAAAAATCTGCTCCCTGAGGGGTGAATGTCGAGAGAGAGTCATCAGCCTGCAGTGTCGAGGGAGAGTCATCAGCCTGCAGATCGTCTGATACCACCATAGGATGTACCAGGCCCCCCTGGCAGGCCTGGATCAGGAACACTTTGGGCTTGGCAGTGAGGGGAGAATGATCAGTTGCCCTGAAGATTCTCGTCATTTCTTCGATAGGGAGGGGCTGCCTATCAACCCCCAATACGACACCCTTGCTTCCGTGACTGAGAACACAGCAGATGAAGGCATCGCCATGCCGAGGAGCCTCTCGAAGATCGGTGAATCCGCTGCCAGTCCACTCCTGGACCTTGACCTCCTGCAGCTGAGAAAGGTCCGCACTGAGAAGCAAAGCATTCCAGCGCTCGCTCCATCTGGTCCTTGGTTTGGTCTTTACACATCAGCACTCTGAACCCCAGCCAGCTGAACACCTCTCCTAATCTTCCTGCAGTGAAATAAAACCTAGTTAGGCTTCAACAGGCAACACCGGGGTGATCATATGAATCTGTCAACTCTGTAACGTACCAGCATCTTTATCGGTTCCATGTCTCACGTTTTCAGGTATCTGTTTACCATCACCAGGAAACGTTTCGTTGTTTATGATCAGGCAGAGGCCGGTGGGCTGGCTCTTCAACTCGTACGGCTCGTCCTGAAAACAGAAACAATTTCACACAAACACAAAATGATGAAACTGGAATGGATTAGGGCGGGGCTACGTGGACACAATCTAATATATTTACACTTTAAGGTTTTTGATGAATAATGATAGCTATGTGGATATCATTGCTAAATAGTGCTGCAGATCATTAACGATATTCATAAATATCCAAAAGTGGAAGCAAGTACTCAAAACAAACAAACTCCTTTGAGTTGGCTCTTTTGAAGAAGCCCGCCTGCCACTCCAAAGATGGTGGCAATGTTCAAGACGGTCACCAATGATTGTTTGGAAATGTCCTTTTTTTGCCATTAAATCACTTTCACTCGCTCAATAATTGATCTTGGTGTCAAATCATACATTTAATAACAACGTAGAAACAGAATTCAGACGTCAGGAATGACTCAGAAGTGGTCTAAGACATAACGTTTAAATAATCTTACAATAGAAAACTGGGTAGCCAACATGCAGTGCAGCTGTAGGTGGTGGAGGTATGTTGGGGTGTAGGAGTGTAGAGGTATGTTGGGGTGTAGGAGTGTAGAGGTATGTTGGGGTGTAGGAGTGTAGAGGTATGTTGGGGTGTAGAGGTATGTTGGGGTGTAGGAGTGTAGAGGTATGTTGGGGTGTAGGAGTGTAGAGGTATGTTGGGGTGTAGGAGGTGTAGTACTGTGGTTTAGGAGTGTAGGAGGTATGTTGGGGT